AGTCCAGCACCTGGGGAATGGAGATCAGCTAGAGATCCCTGTGAACCACTGCCCATCATTCAGTCCAGCACCTGGGGAATGGAGATCAGCTAGAGATCCCTGTGAACCCCAGACCCATCATTCAGTCCAGCACCTGGGGAATCAAAATCAGCTAGAGACCCCTGTGAACCACAGACCTCATGATGCTTCCAACGGTGACATAAGCCCAAGTCCCACAGGAACAGGGACCGGGGTGGGGGGTGGAGGAGCCCTGTCCCTACATGGCCCACTGCAGCCTTCCTGCCCCCTCCATGTGATATACCTTTTAGGGGTCATATGGAAATGTGGCTGTTGTCTAAATTATGGCACAGGTACAAGGAAGTTTGATGTTGTTTTCCTGCCACTTCACACCCTCCAGGTAAGGATCAAAATCTCTGCAGGGACCCACCGTAACAGCCAACACACCCATGGCCAAGCCATAGGAAGGGATGTCCGTAGTTCCAGCCTGCTTACCATGAGGTCTGTCTGAAAATACCTTCTGGTACGGTGCCGGAAACACCCTGGGTTACAGACCTGTAGGTCTCCAGGCTGCTCTTGTCACATGGAGTGCTGCGTGGGAGGCTGTGACCCTGACCACCCCACCTGGCAAGTTCAGGGGGCTCCTGTGAGAGCGGCCCTGGGTGGAGGAGGGGCTGAGGGACTTGTTCTGGGGGGTGGTGGGTCTTCCCAGGTCACACGGGGCATTTCAAACATCATGGGCCTGTGTCTGCTGAGGCCCTGGGTGGCATGGACGGGGTCATGGGCCTGATTCTCCCCATTAGCCAAGAGACCCCCTGTCCCTAGGCCTGGCTGAGTTGGCAGCTGGACCCCATACAGGGGCATTGGCTTCTTGGGGTTACCGGATTTCCAGGTTATTATTGGAAGTCAGGCATCTGGATTTTGCTGTTAAATCTCCTGGTTTTGTTTCTTTGATTTTTTTTTTCCCCACTGATTTTTTTTTTTTAATGGAAAAGGAAAGTCCTTTTGGGTTGGCCAGGGTTCAGCCCAGAGAGTAAACACAGAGCCAGCTAGAAAAGGCACTTAGTTAAACGTTTTAGCACCCAGTCCTGTGGGTGTCCCGCACATTTGACATTCAAAGGAGGACAGAGTGAGAAAATGTTTTGTGGCCTGCAGAATTCTTTTTGACCTCTAACTGATTGAAGTAATATTTGTAAACAATTTAAAACGAAAATTTACAAAGTTGGAAAGCATGTTGAAAGCATTACCTTATATTCAAACACATTTTCAAATTGTGACCCAATTCAGCACAATTTCACTTTGATTCCAGGTAAGGACCTTAATGCACATCGGACCAACTTAAATGTCTGGTAACCAAGGGAAAAAGCCACCCTTACTTAACCAAAACCTTTGATTTATTGTAACTCATAAACAAATACGTTCTTCTCACTACAGACTACTATACCGGACCCTCACAGCTGTGCCTGGTTGTCCCATGCTGCTCGTGGGGCCGCACGCAGGCCTGGGGGTAAGTGCGAGAACGGGCCGGGGTCGGCTGCCACCTGAAGTGGGCAGGGGGACTGGGTCCCACCTCAGCTGTGTGTTCTGGGCTCACATTCACAGTCTGTTTCACGGTAGTTATGAATGTAACCGTATTCAATGTTTTGATTTGTGCTGGTTATTTATCAGGACATAACACGTTGCCCTCGGTTTGGCAGTTTCCTGGCGGGGAGTCTGGGCGTGGCTGGGGCCCCTGGCTGTGGTTTGGTTTCCTAGCGGTCCGGCAGGTGCTGGCTCAGGGTGGGGTCTGCTCTGAAAGCTCAGCAGGGCAGGACTGGAGCCCCGCTCTCTAGGGTTGTCTCAGGGTCGTCCCCGAGGGCTGCTGGCTGAGGGTCTCCGCTCCTTGGTGGATGTGGGCAACCGCCCCATGCAGTCTCTGGCACTGCAGCCTCTCCGGGGCACTCATGGCCAGTAGCGTCTGCCCTCCATGGGCACGAGGGGACCTCTGGGGGCAGAAGCTGTGTCCTGGTCACAGAAGCGGAGCTCCTCGCTGTCCCACATCCTGACCCCTGGGAGCCAAGCCCCGGGCCGGCTGGCCAACGGGAGGGGGCTATTCCTGCAGGGACATGGAGCCCCAGGAGGCGGGGGCCAGCTTCAGGGCACCCCCAGGGGTTGGATGGAAACATGATTGTATCACATGCAATCTTACTTCTAGCCCTTTGTCAAACACACCAGTTGACTGGTTAAACGTTACCTGCTTTGTGGGACGTGTTCAAGTAGACTTGCCTTGAAGCAAGTTCTTTGAGACCCTTAAATTAGGCCATGACTGAAGCTTCCTCAGAGCACATCGAATGCATCACAATGCACTACAGGACCCCGGTGCACTTCCATAAATTAACGTTCTTTTCTGATGCCAACGAATCTCTGAGCCAGCTCATGGCCGAGATACTGAATGTGATTGATTTCTTTCTCGTGAACCTACTCCTATAAACTTACCCCATTACTAGCATTCAATAAGCTGTAAAGGGCAGTCCTTCTCTAGATAAATGGGGGGAATGCCAGTCTTGGAGCTTCAACCCCCTCAGAGATGCGGGTCACAGTTGCGTGTTGAAGTGTGTGCCTCTTCTTCCTGGTGTCTCTCTGCTGTTTGTCATGTTGCACTGGTCTTGGGGTACGTTCTAGGATGGACGGAATGGGCTCAGTCTGCTTCCTGCCCCATAAGCGTAAGGGCCAGTGATTAGGTGAAGGTCAACGGCTCCTGGTCGTCCCAGGAGTATGCTTGCGGACATGGATGTAGCCCTGCAGGGCGGCACCCATAGGGACCTCCTGCACCAGCTGCATCAGGAACCCTTTCGTGGCCTCACTTCTGACCATGCAAATGGTTCAGTGGCGCTCAAGCTCCGTGGTGAGTGCCTGGCAGCCAGCGCTCTAAGTCCTGAGGAAACGTGGTTCATCGCAGGCCAGTTGGATCTTCCTGAGAAGGTGTGCAGACCCCAGTGGTCCCAACAGCCTGGCTGTGGTTCTGTCCCCATTCTGTGTCCACCTCCACCCGAGGCTCTCGGATCTGATGCCAGCCCACAAACCCAGAAGTGGCCGACTTCCCAGTGGGCGGCAGTGAGCGGACAGGCCCCACCTCTCTCCTGTCCTCAGTCCAAGAACAATCCGCCATCACTTACCATAAAGAACACTGCTTTAGAATGCTAGCACTTGTCTCAAAAGCCTTGTGTCCAATCAGAATGGCTCCTGGCTTGGGGCAGGAGCGGGTCAGCAAAGAGGGAGGCTGTGTCCCCAGGACACAGTGTTTTCTCCGACCGTGCCACTCTCCGGAGGCCCACCACATTTCCAGATGCACAGCTGGGTTTGGCGAGGTTGGAGGGCACAGCATGAGGCAGCTCCCTCACCACCATCGCCAAAGGCCAAGAATGGGCTCCCTGCTGCCATGTTTCCCCAGAGAGAAAACACACGGGGAGATGCCGCTGGGACTTGAGATGGTGTCTGGTCAGCTCGACGGGGCGGGGACAGGGCAGGGTCCCCGGGAATGAGTGGGGGGCTCTCAGGCACTACCTCCTCCCCAGGCGGCTGGACTGGGCCACTGGCGTCACCTGGGATGGCCACTTTGGGCATCGACAGTGGTGCCACATGGGTATAAACAGCAGGGAGCCCATGTCCAAGGGAAATGGGGCACAAGTACCTGGATGTGGGGACCCCGAGTGTCTTACAGACTCCAGGAATCATGTTTAAATGAGTGTGAAGTGCCTGTGGGCTGCAGCTTGGGGACGCGTGTTACCTGCAGTGACGTCACTCCTCGCTTGTCCTGGAGGTGGGGACAGCCCCAGTCTGAGGGCTCCATCTCTGAGCGTGAGCAGAAAGCCCGTGGAGCCACGAGGCGGCCAGCTGGACAGCAGGAGCCCTGCCTGGTTCCACGTCCGGAATTGGAAGCTGATGGAGACCCCGTCCTGTGCCGGGGTACCCGGCAGCACCAAGTGGCTCCCAGCGCTCGGAAACGTGACCGGCACGGGCTGCGGCTCGGAGCAGGAGAAGGAGGCATTGCCCTGAGGACAGGAAGCAGATCTGAGGAGGCCCTGGAGGTGGGGGGCTGCTCCTCACCCCGATCCCCCACCACGGCCCCCAGACCTGCGTCCCCCCAGCCGGGACCTCAGGGCGTGGCCTCCTGCCCACCCAACTCCCCAGCCCTGGAGACACAGACCGCACCAGCAGCTCACCCCAGTGCAGGCAGCCTCGGCCTTGCTTTGTGCACCTCTGGGTGAAGCCAGGACAAAGCCCAGAGCCCGCGCAGGCTGTTGCAACAAAATTCACCCTCTGGGAGTGTGCTGGGGCTGACAGAGCTCACAGACGGGCATTTTGACCACAGGCAGGAGAAGAGGATCCAGAGATTGAACATTTGTTCCCGTGACCCAGCTACTGGGAGACAGGTCAGGTCTTAGCCTCTGATGTGAAGACCCCACATGGAACCACCTTATCATGTCCCAAGGGCCACGGAAAACATGGTAGCTTACTGATGCATGTGTGTGTCCAAACTCCCACGGCAAATGCTGTATTTACACGTGAGGTATAGGTGGCCGGGTTCCCTGTGGGGTGGCCCGCGCTCCCGCCAGCTCACGGAGAAAACCCCGTTGCTAAGGGGACTGCTCCCTGCAAGCAGCTACCTCTGCACTCTGGAAAGCATAAGCTGAGACTGTATCTTACATTTTAATGGAACACATGTTTCTTTGTCTCATATTTAAGCAATTACTGTAAATTAGTTACGTGCGCTTGGTCTGTGTTTCTCACTCAGGTGAGGAGGCTGTGACATGAGTAACGTCACCCTAATCTGACGTCACTCAGGGGGCACATGAGGGCCTTCATTCCTCCAAGGCCCCCCACCCCTCTCTCCCCAGGCAGATTCTTACCCTGATGAGAATCTGTGGTCTGTGCTTCTTGGCCAAATCAATGATATCCTCTCCATTAAAATTAATATTTTCTAAACATCCGTCAAAGTGTTTTCTTTGCAATGTCACAGATTTTCCAGGTGCTAAAATCCCTCCAAAACTGATCTTAGAAAGAAAAATGACATCAATAATATTCTTTAGTCATTTCCCACTAACTTGCTTAAAACATTCAGGACTCAGAGGTGTAGCAGGAAGGGGACCAGGTACGCAATTCTGCATAATTGCGTGTTTTGTTCACTCTTTTAAGTGAAATTCTAAGCAGAGACTCTGACATGGTTTACATGCTGCTGATGTCTGCCACACTAGAGATCCTTCATCTGTAATTAGGGAAATGTGTGATTTGGCATCTCACTTGGACCCTGGGGAGGAAAGGGGTTACTGATATCCATGATGGAACAGCAAGTGCAGGCCTGGACGCAGGGCCCAGAGCAGAGCGTCAGGCCCTACTCACCACCAGCTCTGCACCTTCGAGTGCTGGGGAAGTCTTGCTCCTGGGATGGGCCTTCTCCAATGCTGGCAGGTGCAGGCGGGCAGCTGGAGGGAACAGCTTGCCCTCCAGGGTCCCCGCAGGAACCCCTCCCCGACCCGCTGCTACCTTCCCTTATAGTTCTTCCCAAGGGCACAGCCTGGTGTCCCGGGGAGCCGACCAAGACAGCCATCCCATCTGCAATGTGTTAGATGAACTGGCCTCCTTGGGGTGCTCATCAAGTCGGCTGTGGTGTGTGTCAGGTGAGGGGAGCATCACATCTCTGTGTCCAGATGTGCACTTTGTGAGGGAGAGCTGATCCGTGTAACCCCAAACCCGTGCAAAAGGAAGTCTATGTAGAAAATAAAAATGATTTTCTAGCTTATACATCTCTGGATGGAATTTACATTCATCTGTGTATAAAATATGATGTTATTTTTGCCAATTCATAGAGTTTAGGTAATAAAATCATGAAAAATAAGACAAGAACTGCCCATCGTCCGTTTCTGCCAAACACATTTCTGTTTTAGTTTCAGTGTTTAGCTTCTTTTAATAGTTTGTGAACCTGACAATGTCTTACAAAAATGGCATAAAATGTTATATCTTTGCATAATTTAGGGACATGTGTGCAAAGGGCTGCAAATATGTTAGGTGTGTTTCAAAGCTGAAGGATGAGACAGGGCATTGGAACCAGCCGCTAGCTTGGGATCTCACTGGGACGCCAGCGGATTCCTCAGGTCAGCTCAGCGGCACTTGACATTTGCTGTCGGCCACACTGAGCATAGCTGACCGCGCTCTGAGTCAGGCCGCAGAGAGTGCCCAGGACACGGCTCCCTTTAGGACACAGTTAAGCCCAGACCACATGTGCCAGGAAAGGGCGCTTCTCCGAAGGATTCCTCCTTCTGTCCAGGCTACGCTGCATTTAAACCCCACACCCTGTCATGACTGATGGGAGACTCCGCACCTCAGGATCCAGGTCCAAGTGACTCAGCTGTGCCCGTGCCTGGAGCTGCCTCGAGTGCTGGTCCACTGAGAGGATCACATGCTGGTGGGCATGCTCAAAGAGCACCGAGTGCCAGTGCTGGTCGTCCAGCAGACTGCCCAGCGCCACAACCCCGGGGCCGGACGGGGAGGGTGCGGTGGTGCCTGGCCGGGGAAACAGGCAGTTAGGTCTTGCCAGACCAAGCTTCCTCAACCCCGTGAAGCTGCTGCATCTGACGCTGGGACACCCTGTCCATCAGGGCTCTTCTCGGCCACTTCCCTTCATTACTGGGACCTCTGCAGGCTTGCTTCCTTTGGAAGCCCCGTCTTTGCCGAGAACTCTGCTATGGGGACAGGGCAGTGGCTCTCTGTGGGGCACCTTTGTCCCCCAGGGGACACTGGTCAGGATGTGGGTGTGAGTTGTGCTACTGGCCTCTGGTGGGTCGAGGGCAGGGATGTTGGTAAACATCCTCCAATGCACAGGGCATCCCCCAACGAAGAGTCATCTGGTCCAAAATGTCACTGGTGCAAAGTGGGGTTGGGAAGCCCTGGATCTGGTGACATAGGAGTGTTTGCCGGATACGAAGAGCTCCAGTGACTGCCTCCCAGCACAGTTACTACACTTTAATATGTTTTTAAGCAAAAGAGAGTCAGAATCTGTAAGTCTCGGCCCTTATCTATGCCTGCTAAAAGATTAGGTATAAAAATGCTGGAGTACAAATTACATCTAAGAATTCAGATTATTGAGTTCCCTGGCTGATCACTTTACCTGAATTGAAGAACAGAAGGAGCCTCCCTTTCACTAATTCCAGGGTGATGCAATCTCCATTTCTGCCCCGTCTGTGGAATAGAAGCCCATAACTCTGCATGGTTTTAAATTTCAAAGAAATGATGTCTTTCGCTGGACTCCTGGTACTTTGAACAAATCTGTAAAGCAGGGAACTTTTTCCATCAAAGTCAATCACCTCTGATCCTGCAGGAAAGATGATAAAAGTTGTCCTAAGAATTAGCTTGCTTCTCGTTAATGTTTTTAAATGTGTGGGGCCTTGAACACAAACACAGGTGCATGAACACACACATAAATACATATGCATAGGTGCACATGCACAGACACACACAAAAGTACATAGACACACACAGGTGCACACGCACGCACACACGTGTGCACGCACACACACAGGTACATATACACATGTATACACGCACAGGCACACACAGGTGCACACGCACACACATGTTTGCACACACACGCACACGTACACACATGTTTGCACACGTGTGCACACACAGGTGCACACACACACAAAGTTCCATATACACAGGTACACATGCACAGGCACACACAGGTGCACACGTACACACATGTTTGCACACACATGTGCACACACAGGTGCATGCACACACACAAAGTTCCATATACACAGGTACACATGCACAGGCACACACAGGTGCACGCACGCACACAGGTGCATGCACACACACAAAGGTCCATATACACAGGTGCATATGCACAGGCACACACAGGTGCACACGTACACACACATGTTTGCACACACAGGTGGCACACACAGGTGCATGCACACACCCAAAGGTCCATATACACGGGTAAACATGCACAGGCACACACAAAGGTGCACAGGCACACACAGGTGCACACACACGTAACTAATAAGTGTCCATCCTACTCATCAGGTGACACAACATTTCTCCCAGCAAGTGTTGAGACATCTGGGATTTTTCACCTGTAAAAGCATCCTGTTTGGATGGCTACTGTCTGTTGGCACCATGGCCAGTGTCGACCACATGGAACCTCTCTGAACGCTGCTGTATATTCAGGGCCCTCGAAGACTTCCATGTTGCATCCACCCACGGAAACTAGAGCCTCCCAGGATAGTGGGTCTGCTCTCCTGACTCTTGATCCCTTTGCAGAACTGTCCTCACCTGTGGTGACTGTGCCAGAGATGCCCCGGCTCACCTCGGGGTCACCAAGGGCAGCAAGGCAGACAGTGAGGGGGCTGGAGAGAATGAACTGCTCCTTCTCCCCCAAGCCGGCTGCCCGCGGCTCTTCTCAGCAGCCTGCAGCTGCCAGGCCCAAATGCCAGGAGGGATGTCCCAGTGCGCCGGGGCTCCCACAGCGCGTGCCTGCCCTGCCTGGCACACGTGCTCATGTCCTCTGTAGAAAACGTGTTCGTGTTCCACACACATGGAGAAACAGCGGCCAGGTCACCAGAGGGCTGGGTCTTGCTTAGGCTGCCCATTTACAGATGGGGAGAGCAGTTATCCTGTAAAAACCCTCACAGTGAGGACTCCAGCCCCTCGGAACAGGTGCTGTGCAGAGGGTGTGCTCACGGGACAAGGGAGAAGCCGGGAGGCACCCGTCCAGAGCAGCAGTGGCCGCTGGGGGAGCCAGAGCATGAAGGCTTGACCTTGCCCCCACCCTCGGGCCCCAGCCCCCACATGTCCAGACACAGCCTGTCCCCGCTGCTCGGTGCAGAATGGTGGCTGGCATGCACATTGAACTGATGGCCAATTTCCTCCAGGACAGCACAATAGAATTACTCCTTCACTGACCTTATTTCTGGCAAAACCAAGAATATAGCGACTCTTGAAGAACATGGGGGTTGGGGGCGCTGATGCCCACAGAGCCAAAAGTCTGTATATAACCTTTAACCACCCCCCCAAACTTAACTACTGATAGCTGTCGACCAGAAGCCTAACCGGTAACATAAAGTCAATTAACACGCATCTTGTGTGTTATATGTGTCATCTACTGAATCCCTATAATACCGTAAGCTCCAGAAAAGAAGATGTCATCAAGAAAATCATAAGGAAGAGATCATACCCCTAACAGAGCTCTACTGTATTTATTGAAAAGCATCTACGTGTAAGTAAACCCCATAGCTCAAAGCCTATTGTTTGGGGTCGCTGCACGGGGATGTGCGTGTCATTTAAAGGGTGCATCATATGCAAAATAAGCCATTAAAATAACTCTTGCCCATCTTATGAGGCTATCTTTTTTAAAATTCATGTTTTGTTTTCTTACCTCTTGTTAATGTACCTAGAAATAATTTATTTACCAGGTACACAATGAATAAATATTTCATTCTGTTTAAAAGGTGGGTTATCTGCTCAATTATTTCTTTTGAATGAGGAGAAACATGGATGAAAGGCCAGAGTAAGGGGCCTGCAAGTGCATGGCCCCAACTGTTTCAGGGACTGCCTGCTCACACCCACATCCCAACAGTACTTTGTGTGTCTTCCCTGTCCTTGGGTGAGGGCACAGACTTCTCTTCCAGCCTTGCTCAGGAGCCCACAGACTCCCACCCATGACCCAGGGCCTGTGACCCAGCACCTGCAGACTCCACCCATGGGCCCCCGTCCATGACCCAGGGCCTGTGACCCAGCACCTGCAGACCCCATCCAAAGACCCCCACCCATGACCCAGTGCCCACAGACCCCCTCTTGCCCCCTCTGTCTTGGATGCTGCTGGCTGGGGTGGCTACTTATAGCAGACATGGCCAGTCCCAGTGCCCGCCCTCCGTGTCCTTTCTGGATGGCCATGCTGCAGCAGACAAGGGGCTTTCTGGCACAGAAGCTCTACTGTAACAGAAAATCAAAGAAGGAAACATGTGAGCACACGTGTGTACAAACACAGGCACACACGAGTGTGCACACGCACAGGAGCATGTGAGCACATATGTGCACACAGGTGCACACGAGTATACACAAACACAGGAACATGTGAGCACACGTGTACACGAACACAGGCACACGAGTGTGCACATGCAAGGAACATGTGAGCATATACGTGCACACAGGTGCACACGAGTATACACAAACACAGGAACATATGAGCACTTGTGTTCACAAACACAGGCACACATGAGTGTGCACATGCACAGGAACATGTGAGCACACGTGTACATGAACACAGGCACACACTAGCACGTGCACCCACTTAGGCAAGCACACCAGGGAACTAATACGGTGTTTGGATGTAATTATTTTCATGGAGGGTCCCGAAACCAGAAAACCCTTTCCAGGGTTCCTGTAGGGTAACGTGGTTGAGAATGACTCCAAGTCTCCTGGCCAGAGTGTCCACTGGCAGCTCTGGGGTGGCCAGAGCACTAATCCCATCCTCTACAAGGATCACAATGCCTGTGGTCAACTGGAAAGGGCCCACACATCCACTTCCAGATTGCTCTGCATGGAGTCGGCTTGCTCCCGCTGTTCCCAGCGATGGTAGTAACGCCCGGGCTCGACCAGGCTGCCGATAGAAAGCACAGTATGCATGCAATGGTGACCTGGCTTCGTTTGGCAGCTTGCATCCACATCTGATGCAGAAGCCTTTGTGTGACGTAAGGACGTCATCGGCTTTCCTGTGTTCTTGTCGAGGCAGTATTTCTCCCTCCCGCACTGTTTGATTTCCTCTTAAGGCATCCTCAGTGGGAGCCGGCTCACAGCAGATGCCATGCTGGCCAGCAGGTCTGTCGGTGGCTCATCGCGAAGGACCTTTACTTTCAGAGGATCTCCCAGCTGTGATTAGTTACTGACTCAGGGGCATGGCATGGGCTCACCCACCTTCCCCCTCAAGCAATATGCCTTTAACGCTAACCCCTGGAAGCCTTGGTGTTTGCTCTATGCTGAACGCCAGACTCATAGCTGGTCTCAGACTCTGTGCATGAGGAGCAGACCCTTTCCTGGGGGCCTCGTGGCCCGCTTGCTGCATGCCTGACCGTGCATTTGCTTTTTATCTGTATATCCTACTGACAGACTAATGAACAGTTACCACAGGCACTAGGATGGTGCGGTTGCCATGGGGACAGAGCGGTTGCCATGGGAGCAGGTCAGCATGACACTAGCCTGGCCAGGGTGTGCAGGGAAGTTATGGAGGTGGAGGCATGACAGCTGATCCAGACTCCGGGGCATGGCGGTGGAGGGTGGGTGAAGGAAGCCAGGCACCAGCGACACATCCAGGAGTGTTCTGTGCAGAAAGCTAGAAAGAAGTGATGCTAGCCAATGGTATAGTGTGGCATTAGGGTGAAGGGTGAGTGCTGGGGAGGAAGGGCAATGAGGGGGCTCTTGTAAGACTTAGAACTGTGCACTTAGATTCGTGTACTTTCCCACATGTATGTTATACCTCGAAAAGTATGTGTTCTCAAAGAAAGAATGAAGGCTGAGGGTTGCAGGCATGGGGACGGTCTGTGCAAAGGTCCTGTGGTGACTGCAGACATCCTGGTGCATTCAGAGAGCCAAAATAGAGTGATGGTGGCTGCCTGGGGAGTAACCACTTCCTCTGAAGCTGCCTGGGGTGGGCGGGGCTCAGACAGAGAGGCAGGTCAGAGGAAGGGCAGGACGGGTCAGACCCTACCTGGCTGCAGAGAAGAGCATCCCTGGGGCCCCTGTGCACCACGGACAGTGTGTTGATGAGTCTGTTGGGTTTGACATGGGCAGGCTCCTTCCTCCGCATCCAAAGCCCCATGGTGCCCAACAAGAGGCCCTCAGGACGGCTGTGGCCATCTAGGTGGAGCCTGGCGGCGGGCCCAAACCAGGGTCAGAACCAAGGATGACGAGGATTCAGAGTGCGCTGGGAAGGAGGGGACGTGGGGCTGGCACTGACTGGGCATGTGGCGGCCCTGGGTCACCTGGAGGTGGTACCTGGGCATCCACCTGCTAGAGACAGAACTCAGGCTAGCATACAGCACTTGGAGATGGTTGGAGGGACGGCTCCAGTTTCAGGCAGATGAGGGGTCCCGGAGCATGGCCCGGAAGGCAGTGAGGAGGTCCGCGTGGATGTCGATGCGCCTTGGAGGGAGCCTTGAGGTGGCCACGCTGTGCCCTGGGAGCCCATGGGAAAGACCCCTCCTGACCAGTGTGCAGCCCACAAGGCCCTCCTCAGCCTGCCCTTGGCCGCCGGGTCCAGCTGCAGCAAGAATCTGCCGAGTGCATGGAGAGAAAGCCCCGACCCCGCCGTCCTCCCAGTGATTTTCCCTGCACTGCCCCCTCACCCTCCCCGGGCGGTGAGCCCCAGCATCCTAGCTCATGGTCTCAGCGGCCTCCTATGTGCTGCTTCCAACCGCGAGCAGAGAAAGGGCTGTGCGTCAGGGCAGGGAGCAGCTCGGGTGCCACGGAGACCGGACAAGCCGGGCTGTGCCCACGGCCCACGTGGCCCGGCTGCAAAGGTGTGGGTGTGGAAGCCGGGTGTGCGGGAGCGACCACAGCCCATCCAGGAGCGCGGCACGTGGTGGCTGCGGAGGGATGCGCGGCGGGAACGGGTGGGATTCCTCCGCGATCTGCAGGCGGAGCCGCTGCGAGTGAACAGGTGGGCGCGTGGGCAGGAGGGCCGAGGGGCACCGTCCGCGTGTCGGAGCAGCGTGCTGAGCGGGTCCGCGCTTCCCAACACCAGAGCGGCACGCGTGCGTCGCTCGTGCTGGAAACAGTGCGTCCCGCCTGAGTCAGAGCAGGCCCCAGGCTGTTTTCCAAGTGGCGGTGACAGGTTATCTGCTGCGTTTTTATGCAGACCCTCCCAGCAGCAGGGCTGCGTGGACTTCAGGGCTGCTGCTGGTCCCCCTGGAAGGGCCGTGGCTGCACCTCTGGGAGGGAGGGTCCACCCCCAAGGGGAAGAGGTACAAGGCCCAAGATAGCCAGTGTCCAGGTCCTTGACTGAGGGAGCCCCTCGTGGTCTGGAGACCCCCGGTGTGAGGACGGAGCGGGAGGGTTGCTGGGATGAAGACTCGGCACAGGAGGTCCCTCGGTCCACGCACTCTGGTGACCCTGGCGCTTCCCTGACCCCCACGGCCACGCCCCCCTCCTGGGGCCAGCGGGCTGACGCCCACCCCAGCGGTCTCCTTTGTGCCATCCGGAGTGTCTCCTCCTGACACAGACAGCAGACCCAGTTTCCATGGCAAACCTTCCTCCAGAGCGAGTCCTGGCAAGTGGGCAGGTGGCCCCTGTTCAATGTCGCTGACAGGCAGGCCCCTCCCCCCACCCCCCCAGCCCCGGAGCCTTGGGCTGGTGACATCACTGCGTGTCCAGAGACAGAGGGACAGAGACAGAGAGACAGAGGGACAGAGAGACGGGGACAGAGGGACGGAGACAGAGGGATGGAGACAGAGAGACAGAGACAGGGGGACAGAGACAGGGAAGGGAGAGGAGCACTCAGTAAGAAGACCCTGTAAGACAACCTGACGGCTTCATCTCGGGTTTTAACAGGAAGGAGAATCCATTGTCTTTGTTAAGGGATTTGAGAAAAGCCTCCAGCAGTCTCTGAATTTATGCCGAGGACCCCACGTCCCCAGACGGGGCCCCGTGCTGTGCCTGCACTTACGGAATGGGCATCCGTACACCTCCACGCGCATCCCGATGCGGCCATCGGGGTTCCAGGCGGAGGGGAGGAAGCGCAGGTATCTGGCCTCCACGGGCGGCTGCAGCTGGTGGCGCACCACACTGTCTGCGTTGCTGTTCCCTGGAAAGCCCTGCAAGACAGCGCGACCTCAGTGCATGTGTGGGGTCCCCTCGCTCCTGGGATAACTTCTCTTCTCTCCTCTTTCCCGACCCACCTTCTCTCCACCCCCAGACAAACCAACACCCCAGCAGGAGGTTGGGGATCTGGAACCTTCTGCACGCTGCCCATCAGGGGTGGGGGGCTTGTAGCCGCTGAGGAGGACACACCTGTCTTGGCCTGTGTGGCACTCGCCCCGTGCACATGGCACTGGACTCAGGTGGGAGGCGGGCTCTGAACACACGCCGAGGGAAACGCGTGAAGTGCGGACTCTACGCACGACCTCAGTAGTCCTCAGTAGTCCTCAGAGACGCTCTTCCTCGAACCCTGTGATTTTGCACCAAGGGGCCGCGTCGGGGGGCGAGCGGTTGTGCTGTATCCTCACAGGACTCAGGGGCTGGGTGGGGGGGGGCAAGGGGACATGCGGAGGCCTCAGAGGGCTCAGGGGCCGGGTCAGGGGGTGAGGGGATGTGCCACGTCCCTGCACGGCTCTGGCACAGTCCCATTCCCCTCTTGCTGCTCCGGCCTCCCAGGGCCCTGGCCCTGCTCTGGGGGTGCGGGGACAAGACAGGGCCCTCGTGCTCAGTTTTTCAGGCTGCACCACAGACAGAAAGCATCTGTGGGACTAAGACAAAGGGATTCAGGGACCCTGCAGGCCTGTTGGGGCACACGTCCGGGGACACCATCTATAAACAGCAAACCTCTGGGAGGGAGGCTCTGTCTGCACGCGGCCCCCCGAGGGCTCAGTGGGTGCCCCTGGTACGGACAAAAGCCTGGTGAGAAAGTGTGTGTCGGTGTGTGTGTGTGTGTGTGTGTGTGCATGTGTGAACACGTGCCTGTGGTGTGCCTGTGCACGTGTGAGTGCACACACATACCTGTGTCACACGTGTGTTTCGAGGGTGGGTGCTCATGGTCAAGATTGCTCAGTGACCCTCATCAATGTGGGCATGTGTGAACTAAGGCACACTGTTGCAACTCACTTTCCATTTTAAAAAGTAACCATATCAATAACAGTCTAAATAATTCACTTTTAGCTACATAAGAAAAATAGCTTAGTGAAGAAAATGAAGATTTAAATTGTGCTCGTGTTCATCAAAAAACAGGAAAATACATTTTATGGGAATGCCTCATTGTTATTATCAGTTTTGAGGTTTTTACCAACCATTGGAATCGTTCCAAGGGGGGGCTTTCAACTTCCTACTTAGGTTTTGTTTAATAATGCACAATGTAATTCAATTATATAATTATTGTATAAAAGCTCCATTAAAATAACATTAATTTAACATTAAAATTTCAAATAGGAATGCTACTCTTGTGGCCACTACAATCATTCTAACGAGAGTCC